ATATATATATATATATATATATAGAGAGAGAGAGAGAGAGAGAGAGAGAGAGAGAGAGAGAGAAGAGAGTCTCTGCCCCTCTTAGGAAGTCACCAGTATTCAATCATAAAGATTTCACTGCAATGACCTTATCTAATCTCAGATTCCATGGGCCCTAATTCTACAACATAGTCAAATTTCCTTCAACCTAATACCCCACACAGGGAAGTCAAATTCAACATTAGTTTTGAAGGGAAGAAATGGTATTCAAACCATAGCCTTATGAAAAGGATATTAAAATACCTTTTTATAAAAAAAAATACTTTGGTCTGCATTTCCTTGTAGTAACTTGTCTGGCTTTAGCATTGATATGGAGCTTATAGAAATACCTTAGAAAGCTAGGATTTGTTAAAATAAAAAATGGGTAATGCCAAGAAAATAGGCAGCTAACCAGGAAAGTGTCAAGAAGTGACCACATTTCTCCTAATAACTCAATCTAATGAAAAGATACAGAACTACTGACCCAGTAGGGGGCATGCCAGAGGCCAGTGTTGGGCATGCATGGTACATTACAGCGGGGTTCTCCAGCTAGAAAATAAGTTGACAGTGTGCCTGTCCTAGCTTTCAACCAAGATGGGAGGTTTCTATTGAAATTGAAATAAATTATAAAGAGAAAACCATATTGTTCAAAAGTCAGTTAAAATCTGATTCTCCAGAATGTAAGAGTGTCCCACAGAGGAGGAGAAGAATGTGAGAGGGGTTTATAACTGGAGCCTGCAATCAGTGTAAGGATTCTCACTGGAGGATGATGTTGGAGCCTTTACAGGAAAGCAGTAGAGTGGGCTCCATGAAGCAGTGACAAAAACACGGAAGAGATCTGGGCTCAGGTGCAGGAGACAAGGGAGTGAAGTACCTCTGGCCTTGTCCAACAAGCTGAGGCTGTTGTAGGGGAAGCTATGATGGTGAATTCCTGTGCCAACCTGGCTGAGCCGTGATGTCCAACTATGTGAGGAAACATGAGCCCGGATATTTCTGTGAGGGACTTTGCAGATGATATTAACATTTCAGCTGGTGGATGGCAAATGAAGTAGATGGACCTCGACGAGGTGGGTGGGTTTTATCCAATTAGTTGAAATCCTAAATAGAATAAGAGACTGGTGTGTCTCAAGTGACAGTGAATTCTGCTTTAGAGTGTCTTTGGACTGGAACTGCACTATCAGCTCATCCGTAATTTCCAGCTTCTGACCTGCCATGCAGATTTTTCACATAACCTCCATAATCACATAAAGCATTGCCTTGAAATAAACCTTTCTTTGTAAAAAGAAACAGCTGTTCTTCTATACCTTTGGAGGATTACTTTCAGTATTACTTTATCCCTCTGGCCATCAGAATCCACAGGTGCTCAAATCCCTTATGTAGTGCAGCACAGTACTGGCATACAATATTTGTACTTCCTCCTTTACACTTTAGATTATCACTAGATTACTTATAATACCTAATGCAATGTAAATGCTATGTAAATAGCAGATTCATTGTTTAGGGAATGTTGCCAAGAAAGAAAAATCTTGGTATGCTTTTATAAAACATATCTTGGTCTGTGTTTTCTTTTTTCACAGCACTTTTAGATTGGAGGTTGGTTTAATATGTGGATGTAGAGAAGCTGGGGAGATAACTCCATGGACTATCAGCCACCTGGCAAACACCGAGACCAGAGTTTGACCCCCCACACTGCATGCTGTGCTGGCCCCAGCACCCCAGACCCACTGTGCCAGCCCCAAAACCGGGCTTGGTGGTGCGCCCATAACTCCAATGCTGGGGAGGTTGAGGCAGGAGGATCACTATGAGTCTGAGCTGCACAGAGAGAGACCCTGTACCAAATAAACAAATAAAATGTATTTAAAAATATATGAATGCAGAATCCATATTCTCATTTTATTGGTTCTAGTTGTCTAAGTCCCCTAATATGAAAGCTAATGAATATTTAGGGGAGGAATCTTTGTTCCCCTACTTCACAGAAGAAGAAAATGTGGTCCACGGAGAAGACATTTTTTCATATCATTGTAATAGATTGGCCAACTACTTGTGACTGTTTGGTTTTTCTCATGTAAGAAATTTATCCAAGCTTTCTTGTTGTCAGACACCTCCCTTCAGTATTCTTTGGCAGGAATGTATATACCTGACCCACTAGTTTTTCACTTGGCTGTAAAAAAGTCCAAGGGATTTGGTACATCGAATCTGACCCTGAATGGCAGTTGTGCCGTTTAGCTTGGCTACAGCTTCAGCAGGGATCCCAGAATGAGTAAATAGTTGGAAGAAATTAGAACTGAGCCCACAGCCTAGAGCCAAGCCCAATTTAGGCCAGATGAGCCCAGGAAAACTTTATTTTTTTTTTTTTTGAAAAGACAGACTTTATTAGTGTTCCCATAGCCGAAGGGTACCACAAACCATACACTTCCCACTGGAAAACTTTAGCAGTGGCCTGTAATGATCCAGGACAAGAGATAAAAGTTCACATTGCAAATCATGAGCTATCAGCCCAGTTTCGTTCCTCATAAAAGCTATACAAATCCCACATTGGAGTCACAGCTAGGTCTTAACATGCACTGTCACTTTGATTTCATTTTCAAAACAGTTTTGTCCATTTATTTACTGGATCTCTACTATGTGCTGTTAGGGGTACACATTTTCTACTCATAGTCCCATAAAAGGAGGGGTATATGGATTAGTGAAGTTTTAAAACTTTGGTCCTTGGGCTGGAGAGATGGCTCAGTGGTCTAAAGCACCTACTTAGAACAAGCTTAGCAAAGCATCAGGGACCGCGGTTCCATCCCCCAGCACCACATGCCAGCCAGCCCTGCCCCCTGGTGGGCTGAGCTGGCCACACACACACACCACTCTCTCTCTCTCTCTCTCTCTCTCTCTCTCTCTCTCTCTCTCTCTCTGTCTTTCTCTCTCTCTCTATCTCTCTAATAAATAAATAAATAAATAAATAAATAAATAAATAAACTTTGGTCCTTGTTTTCTTCACCCAACCAACCAACTGAAATGCTGACTTCATCTAGAGAGTTACAGCAACATCTACAAATAATAGTCAAATATCTGGACATTCAATGATGCGAAAAGTTGTCACAAAAAAATTAACCATGATAAGGCTATCATTTGTCAATCTGGCAACCCATCTCCTTAAAGGATACTTAATCTCTGTGCTCAAACAATACTGAAGGCCTCATTCTCCCTACGGCAACCAAACTATCCTACTAATAACTCTCTTGCTTATAATCCAGAAGTGGATGAAAAGCCATTGAGTGATATTTTGTCCTTTATATCTCATTAATTTAAATACCATGGCATAAAATTATTAATATTTAAATATTTATTAAGTCAATAACAACTACAAACACACTCAGCCACCTTATCTTTGACAAAGGGACCAAACATGTTCACTGAAAGAAAGATAGCCTCTTTAATAAGTGGGGATGGAGAAACTAGCTTTCTACATGCTAAAGGGTAAACTTAGACCCATGTCCATCACTATGCATGAAAGTCAAAATGGATCAAAGATGTAGATGTTAAAAGAGAGATGCTAAATGTATGGAAAGAAAAAGTAGGTAGAAATCTTGAAGACATAGGGGTAGGAAAAGACTTCATGAACAAAACCCAAACTGTTAGGAAACACT